CTCCCGCCACAGTGCCCGAACCCAGTCAGCACCAAGTTACGGAGCTTTCCAAAATCCCGCTGCTTTGACTCACTGGAACCACAGTCACACTGAGGTTGGGGATTGGTGAGTCGAACAGAGCGCTGAGCTAGTGGGGAACCTGCATTGACCTGTGGTGAGTGACAGGAATCAAACCACTCCACAGAGAAGGGGGCTTCAACAGACAACATTCTGGGGCTGAGCAGGACTGACAGGAACAAGGGGCAGGAGTGACTTCAGTCAGTTGTTCCCTTCTCAAACAGGATTCATGGAGTGAGCTAGGCCTGGGTCACCCAACCTGGCTGAGACCCAATGGGTTATCCGAAATCAATTTCCTACAGCAGTGGTGCACACTCAGGCAGTGAAGCCTCAGAAGTTTGACTGACCTGGAGGGGAGGCAGTGCATAGTAATACAGTGCAGGCCTCAGCAGCTTGACTGATCTGGAGAAGAGGGGCCAGCATACGCTGCCCCTGTTTGCAGCTCATTAGCACATGGCAGTGGGAAGGGCCACCTAGCCAGTGTGCTTCAGAAGAACTGTAATCAAACAAAAGAAAGAAACTGGGGCCTCCTGGAAGAAACAAAAAAGATAGGAAGAAGAATCAACAACAAAATCCCCAGATTCCAACCCTGAGAACATTGACCCAGGACAAGTAAATACAAAGGAGAATGAGGACAGCAAACATGCAATATCAGACACAGCACTAGTGGACATAAAGAGATATCTTTGGGACCTCATAGATGAATTCAAAAGGGAAATATTTAGCCAAGTAAAGCAAGATATAAGAAGATTAATAAAAGAGATGCTAAGCTCTACTCAAGAAGACACAGATGGAAGAATGGAGGAATTCAAACAAAGGAGAGAACCATTTGATGAAGAATTTAAACAAAATATAGAATACATGAAGCAGATTCAAAGAGATTACCAGGAAATTAAAAACTCTGTGGAAAGATGGCAAAACTGCTTGAAAGAAACTAAGGATAGATTATCCAAACTGGAGGACAGGTTTGCAATGTGGGATTATGAAAGGAAAAACTTTTTAAAAATAACAAGGAAACAAGCAGTAACAATACAAAGGCTAGAAGATGACAAGAGGATATATAACTTGAGAATAAAAAATGTGAATGAAGAAGCAGGCGTACAAACAAAGGAACTACAAAGGCTATTCACAGAAATAATTAAGGAAAACTTCCCAAACATAGGAAAAGGAAATAATATGATGTATGAGGCATACAGAACTCCAGCCACCTACAACCAAAACAGAGCTACACCCAGGCATATAATAATCAAAATTCCAGAAATTCAATATAAGAACAGAATGTTAAAAGCTGTTAGAGACAAGAAACAGATAACCTATAAAGGAAGGCACATCAGAATTATGGCAGACTTCTTGACACAAACCATCAAGTCAAGAAGAGCCTGGAGTGAAATATTCCAAGCCCTGACAGAAAATAACCTCCAGCCCAGATTGATATTCCTTGCAAATGTGTCTCTAGAAATTAATGGAGAAACAAGATACTTCCAAGACAAAGAAGAACTTGGAAAATTCGTGACCACCAATCCAACTCTACAAAGAATACTGCAGGGCATTCTAGAGAGAGAGAAAAGTACTAGGATTCCAGGAACAGTGGTAGAGAGGCCTCCATAAATGGAGTGGAAAACAGAATGAAGAAGACAAGCAGACAATGGATAGCAAAAAAAGAGCATAACAGAAAGGAGATAGAGAAGGTTGGTTATAATCTCTAATATAGATGGCCTTGATACACTAAGGTAAAAACAAAAGAACCACATATAGAGTAGATCAGGAGGAAGTGTCCACAGAGATGCTATTTTTAGGAAATATAATTAACATGTAAAAGAGTACATGGATTGAGAATCAAATATGAGAACACAATGCTCTATGTGACAGAGAACCAGAGAGTAATAGGGGCAACTAGACCAGTATTTGTGGATAGGGTGGAAAGACAGGCTTTAATAGGTAAAGAAATACAATTAGAGATCAAATCCAGGAGAGAGAAGGTTCGGAACCACTTAGTAAATAACAGGTTGTCTCCCCACCCTAATTTAAAAACAAGCGTTTTGGTGAGACTCAAAATTGCATAGTGTTCCCTGAGGAAGTGAAAAGGGAGGGAGAGTCTTTAAAAAGATGGCAGAAGATATTGTTAATCAGTGTATCAGGATTTAAAACCCACATTACTTGCACCACTCTGCTTACATAGATATTATTCTGTCCTAGTTTGTCTACTTGCATTAGATTTGAGCGCACAGACAGCTATCCCCAAAACATCAGGATATAGCAGAGTAATCATCTTTAATTTCCTATTACCTTAATCTGGAGCCCTGTATGACTTATACTGTTTTATCATGACTGATCTTAGTTAAATCTGGTTTGTTTGATTGCTGTTTGTTATCAACAGATTTTATTCAAAACTGATATATTGATAGTATCACATCTGAGAGTATAGGCAACTACACTGAAGATAACAAGACTCACTATGATACATATTCTGGTTTGATTACTGCCTGTTTTTGAAGTTTTATTCTATATACAAATTTGTGTTTTTATTAATACTGTTATGCACTGATATATTCAATTATACCATGTCTGATGATATAGCCAATTCTATTGAAGATAACAAGAGACAACACAGGAACTATGGTGGAATCCTTGTACAATGGTCTTATATGTCTTTTTAATTTCATGTGTTTATAAGAATATGCTTTGTTTTATCTTGCTTTGTTTTGTTTCTCCCTCTAATATAGAAAGGATAGAAATACATGTTAAGATTCATGCATGTGTAGGACCTATAAACAGTTTATGAGAACTGATCTTATGACACATGATAAAATGATCAAATACTTTGAAGAAAAAGAGACACTCAAGTACCCAGTGCTGATCCTGGATTATCATAATGTGACACCCAGCAATGTAGTATTCTTTGTTCAGAGTGACATTAGCCTGCTTGGGTTTGGTCAATCTCAACATAGTTGAAGATATGGATAACTGCATGTATGTTTAAGTGTATAGGATTGAGAACCATATTTTCAAGTTTTTGTTGGATAGTTGAACAGAACTGGTTGCAGTCTCACTGTTTGAATTCACATTTTTTATGCTCCACTTTAGTATCTCGTATAACTATTTGTAAGAGGACAATCTATAATCATCAACTAGTGATTTCTTACTGTTTAGTTTTTGAAAGTATGTAGTATTTCTATCCATTTTCTGTTTTGTTTAGTTTTTCTGTAAATTACAAAAAAGACACCACAGTACCCAATGCTGATCCCGGAGTGTCATGATGTGAAATCCAGCAATACAATTATTCTTTGTTAAGAATGATTTTAGCCTGCTTTAGTTTGTTTAATCTCAACATAAATGAAGATGTGGATAACTGCATGTATGTTTAAGTTTATAGGATTGATAACCACATTTCTAAGTTTTTGTTGGATAGTTGAACAGAACTGGTTGCAGGCTCACTGTTTGAATTCCCACTTTATATGTTCCACTTTTTTATCTTGAACAACTATTTGTAAGAGGACAGTATGTAAACATCAACTAGTGATTTATTACTGTTTATTTTTTCTTTGTATGTATTATTTCTACCCCTTTTCTGTTTTGTTTAATCTTTCTTTAAATTAAAAAAAAAAGACACACACACTACAGTGTGTCACTCCCTGTAACAGTGAACAATGACAAACACCTTTTCAGGCCATGCACAACAATTCCCTGCATTCTAACACCATCTTCCTCTCCCCCAGTCTCCAGCCTGTAGCCACCACTCTGGGGTGCTTGTGAGAGGTGACCATGTTCTTCTGGCAGGACTCAGCAGGAACATCTGGCCACACCTGCATGGAGTTGTTTTGTGGGAAAGATCTCTGCTTTGTGGGTGTATCTTTGTTAACACATTATTGAAAAGGAGACAACTGTGACTTAAAGTATAGGAGGAGTGGCCTTTACGTAATAGCCATGGTGAGCTGTGACAGGGAAAGATGGTGGATGCTAGAAAATGAGAAACTGGAAAGCAGAGTGGTGCAGTGGGGAAAGGTGACACTGTCATCACGGATAATGCGGAAGGCAGGTGTCCTGCCCTCAGAGCTGGCAGCTGGAGAGGAAGTGGTTCAGAAAAGGCAGTGTCCCTAACACCTATGAAGATGGTATTAGGATGCAGGGAATTGTTGTACATGTGCCGCCTTGGATCACCCTTTCAGGAGCAGTGTCTCCCTCCTGTGTCCCTCAAGACTGACTGTGGCACAGACAAGAAGAAACAGAGCATTGTGGAGGGAATTTCTGTCTGCAAGCAGTTCGGAAAAGCTGGGCACTTACACTGCTTGGAGCACTGCCACCTGGGAAGAAGAAAAGGCAGAAAAGTCCCACAATTTCAAATGAGCAGGCTGGAGAGAGCACCCTTTAAACAAAATGAAACAAGAGGCAGATAAAAGCACAATGCTTGTCTCAGGCTGCCATCTCCCATCACCGCTGAACACCAGAGGTCACCCAGCACTTGGGGTGGTGCCTGATCCATGATGACTCATTGGTTGTTACCCCACATGCACATACATTGTAAGATTTTTGATCAATCACTCTATGCAGTTCATGCATATGTGTAATTCATGGCTAATGTTTACAAGCATGTCTGGGGTAGAACCTCCTGAGAATGTTCCTTTCACGGTAGTTTCAGCTACAGAGCTGGGAAAGATCCTGCTCTGTTTGCTCCTCGTGATGCTGGCAGCCTGGCCAATGTTTCAGTTGCATCTTGGAGGCCTGAAGCAGAGCCCCACTAAGCTACCCCTCATCTGACCCCAAGAAACACAAATAATCCATGTTTGTGGTTTTAAACTGCTAAGCTTTGGAAATATTTGTTATGTAGTTGATAATAAGTATATTAACTGTATATTCTTTTAAGCAAAAAAACCTAGCTTTGAATCAAAAGTAAAGCACAAAAGATTGCTAAAGAAAAGTACAAATGAATAGAGATAGTGAGTTAAATTTATTTAATCATTTTTAACAGTAACAAAAGATAAATGTAAAACAGCATCATGAGATATGTTAATGTGAAAATGTATGCAGTAAATTTTTTTAGGACTTCAAAACAATATAGTAGGAAATTAACAATGACTACCATATTATATCTTGTTATCCTCAAATAGCTGCTCATACCATCAGACATAATAAAATCAAACAAAAGAAAGCAATGAAAATGATACATGACTTGAAAACTAATAGGAAATTAACAATGGCTACCATAATTAATCTTGTTATCTTCAGAATAGCTGTCCAGAACATCAGACATCAGTATGTAAAATTAACCAAACAAAATACAAGAATTAAGTTGCTTCTTTAGCTAAATTGTTACCTTTTCAGAAATTTCAGGTGTATGCTTCTAATTCCTACTATGTCTGTGTTTTCTGAACTTGTTCTGTGTGGGTTGGAGGTCTGAGATTTTATTTTGCTCCTCATCTTGACAATTTCCTGTGTTCCTCCAAATCAGACTTCAGGTGTTTCCTGCATTTGCTGCCAGACCCATGGTACAGTGTACTAGACTACTAGGCACCTGAGCTCCACCAATTGGGTTTCCTGAAGTAGTAGAGAGACATGGGGTGGTGGTTCACCAATGGAAGCAGGACCTTAGGGTATGGCTTCTTCTCCTGGCTGGTGCTAGGCTTCCTAGATCTCACTACTGAGTGGCCTCAGAAAATGGCTTCTTCCTATTAACTCCATTTGTTTGCAGGTTTGGTTCAGCTCTGATATTCTGTTTAACTGATTTTCTGTTTAACTGATCTATCTCTCTGTGACAATGGTGTATTGAGGTCTCCCATTACAACTTTGTTATTGCTCAGGTGGTTTTCTATGTCTACTAATAACTGTCTTATATAGTTGGGTGCTCCTGTATTAGGTGCGTATATACTTATGATTGTTATGGCATTTGTGCTGTCTCCAGTTCTTATTGACTGCTGTCAATCTTGTGCTATTCTTCTTTGACTTTTCTTGTAGCTGTTGTATTGATTTCTCATGATCTGTTGCTATTTTTGAGATACCTTTCTTTTCATGATCACTACCTGCAATTCTGTCTTTAAGACCTGAAATTCTATCCTCTCCTTTGTTTAATCTGTTGCATATAATTTCTTTATTAAAATTTTTTATTTTGAAAGTAGTAAAATATAACAGAACAAGATAGAATAAAGCCAACTGAGACCATGTAGTGAAATTGGTACAGAACTTCACAGCAGGTTACTGGAATAACAGCAATGGATATCACAATATATTTCGTTGTCTTTACAAGAGTTCTTTCAATCACACATATCAAAATAAAATGAAATACAGAACATTATAGAACTTATCAAAGCAGAATATTGAATAGAGCGGTACCATTAATCAGAATAAAGCAAAACATTAATAAAAATATTTGCCTTCAAAGAGATGGTAGAAGGAGATCTCCCTTGCTATGGTCAAGCTCCCAAGAGATGCTCAGATTTCTGGTTCCCATTTGCTAATGGGGGAACATGGAAAGGGGGGTAGGGAAAGTAGGATGTTTGACCTAGGCCATGCACCAGTAGGTTCACTATTGCTTAGCAGGGAGGCAGGCTGGTTGCTTGGTTTCCCAGAATCCTAAGTTCCAACATGGTGCGTCTCTCAGGAGACACTGGTGGTACTTCCCCTGGGGTGGCTGCAGTCTGCCACACCACCACCGATTACCAGGGAGGCGAGCTGCTTGCTTAGTTTCCCAGGATCCTAAGTTCCAACATGGCGTGGATTTCAGGAGACACTGGTGCTTCTCCCTCTGGAAAAGCCACAGTCTGCCACATCTGCACCACTTACGAGGGAGGCGAGCTGCCTGTTTGGTTTCCCAGGGTCCTAACTTCCAACATGGCGCAGAACTCAGGAGACACTGGTGGTTTTCACCCTGGAAGTGCTGCAGGCTGCCACGTCACCACGCTTCCCAGGGAGGTGAACTGCTTGTTTGGTTTCCCGGGGTCCTAAGTTCCAACATGGTAGGGATCTCAAAAGACACTGGTGGTTCTCCCCCTGGAAGTGCCGCAGTCTGCCACACCACCACTGATTACCAGGGAGGCGAGCTGCTTGCTTCTACAGTAAAATTTAGAGTCAGTTTTTTTTTTCAGATAACTGGAATAAAAGCAAGAAATGAAAGTGTTAGAAAGAAATGCTGTATGGAAATATTCAACATAGATGAATAGCATTTAATGATCTTTATAGTTTTGAAATGAATAATTCAAAAGAAATAAATACAAACATGTTTTTTAAATGTAAAAGCACAAAGGACACTGTCCTCCTCCAGTGAGAAGTGGAGAAGGTAAAATGCATATCAGAACTGGCAAATCGAGCCAGAGGCTGAGTGGCAGGAAATAGGAAGAAGCAACCTAGGGAAACAAAAAAGACAGAAAAGAGAAAGCTGATGTATCACCATTCAAATGCAAAAACATAACAGATACAACTGGTCTGAGTGAATACTAAGCAGGATTTAAAATTAATATAAAGGCATCAAAAATTTAAAATTTAACGGAAAAGACCAAGTCTATGCTCAAGTGACGGGCGAGAAACAGACAACAAAAGTTAAGAGTCAAAGTGTTGCAGTCAGTCATATTACCAGAATTCTTAGGATATCTATTACTAACATGAAGGTGATTTTGTACTGTAAAAAGTGCAACTAATGTTACGATATAAACATCTAGGGTCAAAACTTAGAATATCAATAAATTTGTGATATATAAGAATTATTTATTTATTTATTTTTATTTTGATTTTTTAAAAATTTTTTTTAAGGAGAAAAAACAGAGAAAGGGTACAAGTTATACAGATTTACAGAAAAAAATAAACAGTAGGAAATCACTAGTTAATGGATTACATATTTTCATCTTAGAAATAATTGCTCAAGTCACAAAATTAAAGCTTGTAAAGTGGACATTCCAACAGTGAGACTGCAAACAGTTCTGTTCAGTGATCCAATAAAACTCATTGGATATCATTTTCTATCTTATACTCTTAAATATACATGCAGTTATATCATTTAGAGCACTTTCTTTTCCTCTCTTTTGTACAATGACAATTACACATTTTGGGTTTTGTTGCTCCCACAGTTCTTATTACTTTTTTGGAAGGGAGTAGAACCAAATGTGACATAACAGAACAGAGTCAATCAAATCAAAAGGGTGGACATAATAGATAATGTAAAAGCATAATACAAGGTGATCAATAATGGTTACCATAATGCCTCCTGCTATCTCTAATAGAATTGCCTATATCATCAGTTATAATAAAATTGAACAAAACAGTAAAAAAAAAACCGACAAAACCAAAACATTGGAGACATTGTAGGTCTTCAAAAGTAGATAAAAATCATTGAGAATGGGCGTCATAATGAATCTCACTATCTTCACAGCTGTTGCCTAAACTTTTGAACCTGGTACTATCAAGCAAAGCAGAATAGGGGGACATCAGTCAAAAACAAGATGGTGAGAGCAATACAGGGCTTCAAATCAAGATAATGGAAAGTCAAAGTGGGTTACTATAATATATCCTACTATTTTTATTTATTTTTCCCTTAATTAAAAGGATAAAAATAAAAAAGTAAATAATGCAGTGGAGATTGAGATAAAAGAGGGCATAGCAACAAAACAGCGCAGATCAAAACATAACAATTCAAGCAGAATAGTGTTTCACCACAAGATAATCCTGACATAATAGTAGTTACCATATTGTCTCTTTCCTTGAATTCCTTGAGTACAACTTCGTATACTGTAGCTTTAAATATATCAAAACAATGTAAAACCATTTAAGAGAATGACAGCATTACAAGGTATTTAGAATCAACTAACAGAAAATGAACAATGGTTTCTGTATAATCTCCTTGTCTTTAAAAGTTTTTGCTTATACTCTCGTACATAATAAAATCCAATAAGATACAACCTGTTTAGACCAATAGAGACAGAAGAACAAAAGCTTGATGAGACTTCAAAACATGATGATACTAAATCAGTATTACCTATTAAGACATCATTTTCTACAAAATAGCTGTTCCTATCATCCAATCTTCTCTGCCTCATTTCTGTTGAGCTCTTTCTCTGTCATTAGTTGTCAGTTTGTCTTCTTCATTTTGTTCTCTGCTCCATTCATTGTGGCCTCCCCGCCACTATTTCTGGATTGTTTGTATTTTTCTTTTTTAGAATATCCTGCAATACTCTCTGTAGAGTTGAATTGGTGGTTGCAAATTCCCCCAGTTCCTCTTTATACTGGAAACACCTTGTTTTTCCATCAATTTCCAGGGACAGTTGTGCAGGATATCTCAATCTTGGCTGGAGGTTATTATCTTTCAAAGCTTGAATTATTTCCCCCCACCCCCCACGCTCTTCGTGATTTGATGGTTTGTGCAGAGAAATCTGCTGTAATTCTGATGGGTATTCCCTTGTAAGTGATCTGTTTCTTGTCTCTTACAGCTTTTAATATTCTGTTCTTGTATTGAATTTCTTGAATTTTTATTATTATATGCCTGGGTGTTGCTCTGTTTGGGTTGTAGGTTGCTGGGGTCCTGTATGCCTCATACATCTGAGTATCTTTACCTTTTGCTAAATTAGGAAAATTCTCCTGTATTATTTCTGTGAGTAGCTTTTGTAGTTCATTTGTTTGTGTCCCTACTTCTTCTTTTATGTTCTTAATTCTTAAGTTATGGATCCTCTTATCATCTTCTTGTCTTTGTATTATTGTTGTTTGTTTCTTTGTTACTTTTAAGAAGCTTTTCATTTCATTCTCCCAAATTACAAATCTGCCCTCCAGTTCAGATAGTCTGTCCTTAGTTTCTTTCAAGGTGTTATGCCAGTTTTTGATAGAGGTTTTAGTTTCCTGGTAGTCCCTTTGAACCTGTTTCACGTATTCTATGCTTTCTCTATTTTCTCCATCAAACAATTCTCCCCTCTTTTTCTGTTCTTCCATTCCACCATCCATTTTTCCTTGGGTGGTGCTTAGCATTTCTCTAAGTATTCGGCTTACTTCTAGCTTCAGGTCGTTAATAACTTCATTCCTGAACTGATCTATGAGGCTCTCTAGATGGCGCTTTATGTCTATTGGTGTGGTGTCCGCTATTGCCTGTTTCTCAGGATTGGGGGCCGAGGAGCTTTTCTTGTTGCTCCCTCTTCCCATATTCTTTGTTCCTTATATATGCAAGCTTATATAGGAGGCCCAGCTTCCCTCCCTGTCAGCCACAGCCTGATTGAATTGCGCCAGCTAGGTGTTCCTGCCCACAGCAGCACACCAGGAAATTCCAGACCAGGCAGCCTACGTGGGGCCCGCCCCTCCAGGTCACCTTCAGGAGCTGGGACCTGGGCTGTGGTAGCCTACTGGGTCTCGGCCAGCAGCGTCACATAGGCTAGGCACTTCTCACCAGTCCCGCTTGAGAGGGGGATACGTGGCTGGAGTCGCTGCAGCGCCCCGCTCCTGCAAATCTGCCTAGTCCCAGAATGTCGTCCGCTGGAGTCAAACTGTGGTAGAGTGTCAGTTTCTCTCACTCACCTCACCACAAGTCAGTGCACGGCTCCCCGCCCATCCTGCTTTCAACTCCGTTTGCCGATTCCCATTCCCAGAGCTTCCGCGCGTTTCTCTCCCTGCGGAGCCGAGGTAGATGCAGCTGCCACGGGGCAGGAAACCCAAATCGCGGCTTCCAATGGCGCGGGCTCCAGCCTCCACACTGAGGCCCCTCTGTTCCTGTTCTAGCACCAGGACTGCATTCCAAGTTGGTTTTTCTCAGCCCAGTTCATTCCTGGGTCAGCAGAGCATATTTCCACCTGCTTATGACTCCTTAGTCCTGCACCATTCCTGAATTCTGAGCCGAGTCTTTCAGAGAGCCTCCATAGCTGCTGTTATCTGTCCGCCATGTTCTCCCAGAAGTCCAAAATTATTTTTTTAATTATGGCATCGTTGTAAATCAATTTTGTATTTTAGAAGCATGACTCAAGGAAGGAAGCTGCTTAGTACATTTAGAATATTAAAAGTGAGCAATTGTATCTGTAGTTGATCTTATTTGAAAATTCTGTACTTGTGAATTTGCCTACTCAGTGAAATTTGCTGTTCCCACATCATGACGTTTTCAGTGGTTTGTGAATGTGCACAGAGCACTGAAGATTTGGAGCCCCTGGGACATGTGTATTCCCGAGTGTGGGAGGGGAGTATGCCCTATTGTCCTGTTTCAGCTCTCATGCCTTAAACAAGTGCTCGCTGCACTGTGTTTCTGTACAAGGATTTTTACACCATGCATTTTTAAATTGATGAGTTAGATATGTAAAATGAGCTCCCAGCACAGCACTGAAGCGATGGATTGTTACTGAAAACAGAGAGGTTGTGCTGTACCTGACGGGGAAGATATTTCCATCAATAAAGCTTGATTCCAGGGTCACTCACAGTGCTGGAAGTTCAGTGAGCTCCATGCTGATAAACTCAGTAAGTTCAGTGGTGATAACATGAATCATTAGTATATATTAAATGTTGTGCCTTTAAATAAAAACATAAAATAATGTACTGATCAGTTGATAAGAAATGTGAGGCCAGGTGCACACAGAAACTTGGCCCCACTCAGTCCTCTCCTAGGGACATTGTGGATGCCAGGTGTCCAGCTTTGGATGAGAGGGTCCCTGAGGGAACTTTCTCCATGCAGGAACTCTGATACCACTGCCATCCTCACAATTAAAATAACAGCCATACAGTCTGTTTCTAGGATGAAAATGATTTGGCTTGTGAAATTTTTTACTAGTACACATTTGTGACATATAATTACACTGGTCCTGGAGAACTGGTGTGGACATCTCGCTCACCTGGATCATCTTTGATGCCATACACCCCTGCTTCTCCAGAGCCCCTTTATCTTTTCTAAAAAAAATTCACCTCCTTCTCCTTCCTCATGCTCATGAAATTATTATATTTGTTTCTCCTATAAGGGAAACCATGATATTGAACCTTCTGTGTCTGACTTACTACACTTGGTCTTCTAGTCTCAAACGACTCAAGTTTATCCTCTATGTAAAACTCTATATTCTGCATTTATCTGTTGGAATTTTTTCTTAGTATAAGATTTCTTCTTTCTCCTCTAACTAAAACAAAAACAACCAATATGACTCACTTTA